CTCGTATTTCAAGGAGGGATTGGTATTGAGTTAGCCAAAGCCTTGCCAGATTTTCATCTTTAGACAGGCGATAAAAAATTCTTTTTATTTTAAAGGCTAATGGTTTTTTTTTTGACGTGGAAATACACCGCCGCCTCAAAAAGATCCTATTGTACGTCATTCTAATCTGTATTAAAACAGGCCAGATGCCTTTGCGGACTTATTAATACTAATAGGATCTATTAGTTCGCAGCGCTTGGGTCAGTGATATGATCACATCCAAAGTGAAAGTATCCCAGTCTAGCCAAATTATCACATCTAGAAATAATGTGATAGGTTCTTTCATTCTCTAGTCCACATAGCCTACACATGGAAATCTCACTTACACCCAAATTAAAGAGGTGCTTATTGAGTCGACAGTGACTAGTGTACAGTCCTGTCACACACTGTCTGGTGTCACTAACAAAATAATGGTGCTCCTGTCCATTAAAAGAAGTGATTTACTTCTCTTGTGACAGAGCCCTACTAGGAAAAACTTGTTTCCTATGAATGAGTTTGTTTCCTAGTCTGTTCCTAATGTAGCCTAAATTTATTACCCACAATTGCCTTAATATGCCTTTTGATGCAGCCAAGGCTTATCCCACAGATGTGCTCTGGTGCAACCGGCACTTGTGCCTAGCCTTTCCTAGCTTCAGCTTTCTCATTACCTGGAATGCTTGAATGATTGCTTTTACATTCATCTACCAACTTGGAGCGGGTTGCATAACTCAGAGCCCCAATCGCCGCTTGACTATCTGTATATATTGTTATCAATCTATTCATAATGCCTTCCCTTATTAGTGATTGAGCACAGAAATAGATAACTGAAATCTTGCCTGTAAGATGGGCAAATGTATATTGTAGTCTATTGTATTTCCATTTGTCGGGGGTCATGGCTATTTACACTCGTGAATTCATTGCTATCAATCCTATCAAAAATGATCCCATTTCCCTGAAGCGTCAGGAATTTCAATCTCATTCCCAGTTTATCCAATCTATAAGCCGTACTAAGAGCATGTGCGTCCACCTCTAAACGCAATGGTTTCAAATTCAAGAGAAATTCCACTACAGCAGTGGAAGTAGTGCTCATAGCGCCAGTGGCCATAAGGTACTCGAGCCTTTCAAGTTTGCCAAGCAGTACTCTAGGCTTGCTTGCAGCTGCCCTATGCCACCACACAAAAGTCGCATGGAGGATTAAGGGTCTAATCACAGTTCTGTATAGTCATAGGGCCATATCAGGTTTCAGCCTCCATGATTTGCCAACAACTTTTCTGCACGCCCATAAACAATTTTTAGCCTTACCACTAATCTTTTCAATATTACTTAGCCAGTTCAGCTTACTATCTAGAGTAATCCCAAGATGTTTTACTTCACTACAGATAGTTACTGGTGACCAATTTAATGATGGTGGTCTAATATTGATGTTCCTTCTGTTAGTGAAGATACATCTTCTGAGGATTTATGCCAAGCCCATTGTTCTGACAACATTCTTTTAGAAGTCTTATCGTGTTTTCGAGCAATCCAGAGATTGAATCTGGAAATTTGCCTCCTATCAATGCAGCGACATTGCCAGCGTACCACATTCAATTTAACAATCAGAGAGTCGACACCCAAACACCACAAGATAAGAGTGGAGGAACAACCCTCCCTCCCTGTGGACACCCTTCAACAGGTTTAACGCACAGTACGGATTTTCCCAACTCAGATTCTCCCCATCAAAATGGAATAATCCATCCCAAAGCAAAGAGTTCAACCCCTTTCCTAGCCAATGCTCTAGCCATTGTATCATAGGGGGTATGATCAAAGGCACCATCAATATTGACAAAGATACCTGTCATAATCTCTTTCTGCGATAAGCTTGATTCTAGTAACCAGGTGATGCAACACTGTCTCACAGGATTTGCCGGCTTGATAGGGAATTTGAGCATTGTGTAGCGGTCTTTTTACTAGTGTAGAGTCCCTAATGCGTCTATCTATAATCTTTTCCAGTGCTTTCAACAGAAAAGAAGTCAGACATATAGGTCTGGATGCATTGGGATTGTCATAAGACTCTTTCCCAGGCTTAGGTATATAACAAACTCTTGTCTCTCTTCACCTATTAGGGATATATGCAAGTGCTAAAGTACCCCTAAATAATTCCATAAGGTAGGGTTTAATCACAGTTAGGCCGTTTTGCAAAAGGGCCGGGAATCCCATCATACCAGCTGATTTGAATGGTGCACAAGAACTAATTGCCTATTCAACTTTCCTAGAATTAACAATTCTTTTGGCTTCAACCCACTTATCCATGACACATGTATGACTGTCCACAGTGGGATTAACTATATGCTCATTCAGCATTAGGCAGCCAGGAAAATGGGCACGTGCCAGAGCCTCCAGAGTATATTATCCAGAATTGGTGTTATCTCCTTCAACGCTGACCGTGCCAATGACCAATCCATCTATCTGCTTGCATAAGATTTTATGAACTCTGGACGTGGATGACATTTCGTTTATGACACTGCAAAAGTTTCTCCAAGCCTCCATTTTGCCCTGCATATGGCCTTATTGTATTCAGTGAGGGCACGCTTATAAGTATCTCATCTACCCATACTTTTGGCAGCGTTAAAGAGTTTTCTAGTTAAGGCTCTTAGCTTGCCAAGTTCATGATTCCACGAAGAAACTTTCCTTTTGAACCTAACATAACTGACATAGTTATTGTCAGTATTAGACCTCATAATAGCCTCAGATAATCAGGAATTAAGGCATTCCAAATGCCAAGAGTTCCTAATAGTCTTAGGACATCATTTGACTTTTCCTTGAGCTGTATGCAGTATCTATTCCACTTTCTTTGTTTTGGGTTTCTGTTTACAGTCTCAGTCACATTATATCCAGACAGATCAAATCTGATATAGCGATGATCAGAGCATGATTCTTCATCAGAAACATGTCATCTCCTTATCCTAGAACTTAAGCAACGTGTGCCTAATGTTATATCAATTACTTCTCAGCGGGTTCTATTAACAAAGGTGGCAGCATTGCCCCTATTTAGAATCTCAATGTCAAAACTATTTCACCTCCTTACTCTGCTCCTTGGTGAGCTGAGCCGGACTGATATCCACAAGGAATAATTGCCACCCTACTGCCCCCAGTTGCTAGATCATAGGAGATTGCACCAGCCTCCCCGTTTTTGGCCCTCTTCCCCGTAGGTGTTGAGTTCCCTGGCGAAAACCTTGTGCACTTTGTGACTGGACCTTTGTAGCCAGAGCTGCTATACCAAGTAGCTCAGTCCCAGGTTTCACCTATGGTATGTGGGGGGGGGGGGTGGAAAAGGTCGCTACAGGTACTACACCGTCTTCCTGCATAATGCAATTATATACAATGGGGTATGCCAGGTGCCACAAGTGGATCGAATTGACAGTGTATTTTTATACACCCCACTGTATACCCCACACACAGTGTATTTTTGCCACTCTGCCATGGCTCGAGTTCCTTCCACCTAGCTGGATCCACTAGAATAGAAGACAGAAGTGTGAACCCCGTGAAAGTAGGTGAGAGTAGGCGTTGATATGGATATGGACTACTGGGAATTCAACAAGCAGTGGGGCACTATTACTTGATCATTCCACAAGGAGTGGAGAAGATTCCCGCACCCATCTCCCTCTCCAGCCCTCTTTTTACCCTAACCATTTGCCTACAAAGGCTAATTTTTTTATAAATTCCATTGAAAAATAATTTTGTGAACTTGTGAATGCACAATACACTTGAATGAGCTAAAACAACTTCTGTTTATTCTTTTTATTCTAACGTTTCGATCCCTGTTTTTTAACATAAATAATGGGATCCTCTTCAGGTGGATTCACACATCAAATTCACTATGGAGATTGAGCGAGAAAATTCCATTACCCTTTTGGATACATAGGTCTATAGCTCTGAAAATGATATAGCAGTATCATGGTATGAAATAAAAAATAATGGCAGCCGAATATTAAATTTTAAATCATACCATGATTTAGGCATAAAAATAAATACGAGGAAGAACCTGTTTTATAGAGCCATTGCTCTGAGTTTAATTCTGTTTAGGGAGGGAAATAGTAAAGGAATAAGAGAAATATGAAAAAACAATGGTTACCCTAGGGTCATCATTGAAAAGTGCCTGCGAGGAGCGTATGGCAGTCTGACCCTCCACCAGAATAAACAATTCAGTCCACATTGACAATGACAATAAACAATAATTTAGCAAAGTTAAATTACCCTTATATCAATATTTTGGAATCAATATAAATTGGCCAGAGCGTTCAGTATGTTTATATGTGGGAGTATATATATATGTTTAAAAATATTAGTGGTAGTAATGACCAATGGACAGAAGTAGGAACCATTTGTATAATGTTTTATTGTATGTGTATACTTTATTTTATTGTAATCGGATTTAAATTTTTAGCATTTGACGTTAGTATAAAATACATGTAAGATTGTTTTAATTCATCATTTTAACAATTTTAATGTTTTAATTAGCCAGTTTTAATTACAACCAAACAGAGATTGTTGTGTACACTGTTATTGTTGGTATTGGTATTATTCTCGGACTCCAGGATCGGTGTGCTCGTTGCGGCTCCAGTAGTAGCTTGATGTCTTTGTGGCAGTACTGTTGGGGTTGCCAGCGTGCTGCCGGCTTGGGGTATGGATGCTCAATTAAAAGTAAGAAAAATTTGGTATTATTGTTGAAAGTATATAAACTTTTAATTGTTGTACCAATGACAGGTATTTTTTTTCCAGAACTGAAGAGGATCCCATTATTTATGTTAAAAAAGAGGGATCGAAACATTTGAATAAAAAGAATAAACAGAAATTGCTTTAGCTCATTCAAGTGTATTTCATGACCTATTATCCGACTATAATTGTTATCTTAAGTTATAATATATAAAGGTCGAATTATAAAAACATTGTAATATTATATATATATGAATATATATATATATTTTTTATTTTTTTATTTTTAGGTTATTAATCCTTGCCTTGATGTTCAATGCTCTGATATATGCCTAATTTCTCCGAAAAATATGGATGATGATTTGCAATATACTTGTGCTTGTCCTTATCATAAAAAACTTAGCAGAGATCATCATACATGTATTGAGGATAAGCCACTTCAAACCATAATTGTGGGTTCTGGACAGCAGATCATTAAAATACAACATAAAAAATTTGGAGGATTTAGTTCAGATCATTTCAAACTAACAGTATTAAGGAAAATAGGTGCTCTAGCTTATGATCCAAATTCAGGTAAGTTACTTCAAAACACTTGTTTTTCATTAAGCATTTTATTAGAATAAACAGTAACTAATAAATAATATTGCAAGTAACTTGTACAATAGAGTTCTCTCAAAAAGGAAAAAATGTGAATACTCAGGTTTTGCATTGATACTTTTGTTAAATGTATAAAATATGTTGGGGAGTGGGGTAGCTCAATGGTGGGCACTAAGCTTCCAATGCTCAAGTTCCCAGGTCCTATCAGGTCCTAATCAAAAAATTAAATAAAAATTATTTATTCTGTTTCATTGGCCGTGAGGCGACCCTGTTACAGGGAGACCCTCCTGGGGCATAGCCAGCCTCTATAAAGTGGGTACCCTTAATTAAATAATTGATTAAGGAGAAAACCTGGTGGTTGAGCATGATCCTGGCCCGATCCCCTCCCTACACAACTGCTGGCTTTGAAACAGTACTTTCCCTAAATAATACTGAACCCAAGACCCTTCATGGGTTTTAGTGATACAGGTTTTTTAAAATATAAAATATCTTATTTTAGAAGAACAAAAAGTTTAAGAAAATTATATAAGTGTTCTGTTTGGATGTAAATGAAAGATTCCAAACACAAAGTCTTGAGTATCTGAAATATTGTTGAACGAATAATCAGGGAAATAAATAACAGATGTTTTGTCAATTTAGTTATCATCAGGAGAAAACCAAATCAAGATCGTATATTTGCAAATCAAATATAGTACATCTCATATATAGTCAACAAAAAAATGTATCAACTAGTGTATATCACTATAAATACAAAATGTTATAAAAATTCTTTGTGCATAATATAAGTTATATATAGAATAGGATAGAAAAATAATTGTATTCCGGGACAATGTCCCTTAATCTGCCAGTTCCCATGATTAGTCTAAATGTTATTTTAAAGTTTTCTTTTTGAGTAAACATGTTTTTAAAAATTATGTTTGAGTTTTATTCTTCTAAGTAGTTAAAAAAAAAGCTAAGTTTACTTAAAATTTATGGCGGCCCCTAAGAGTGTACAGATACCATTTACCTCTGAGTGCAGAGTGTATAAATACCATTATGTTTTTAGCATTTTTTTTCTACATAAACAAATCAAAATACATTAACTATTTTTTCAAATATTAAATTCATTCATCATGTATTGATAAAAAAACTTAAATATAAGTTCTAATAACTATTTTACAACCATTTTTAGTAAAATACAGGAAATATTAATAACAATATTATCCAATCCTCATCCCTATGGAATTCTGTCCCTCCTTGCATAAAGATAAGCCGAAGTGAGTGAGAAAAACTCAATCACTGATTTTATTGTATAATTCCTAATAATGTTTTTATATTATATAAATGATTATAATCCTCTTTATTTAAAGTATCTATAAAAATTAAGCCAATGTTTATTATGCTTCTTTTATATTTTTTAAAATTTATTGAAATTTTTTTATAAACTTTGTTCATTTAATTTCAGAATTTGTGTATAATCAATATAAAAAATAATTATTATTTATTTTTTTTTTAGATAGAATCATTGTAAGTGACTTAGTTAGACGTAAAATATTTTCATTCAACGTTAAAAGTTTCGAATCAGAGATATTAATTGAACACAATATTGGAAAAGTTGTTGGTATGGATGTTGACTATTATGAAAATAATCTATATTGGATAGATGATGAGAAAAAAACTATTGAAGTTATGAATTTGCAAAACAAACATCGATTAACACTCATACGAGATCTAAATGAAGGTCTCAATGATATAGCATTGGTGTTAGAACATGGGTGAGTTAATACAAATTCTAAAAAAATATTCCTAATAAAGTTGATTGTTTAGTTCAAATATATTTAAATTGTAACTATACTCTCAATCTCTCTCATGCTATTACTTTCCTGAAAAGTATAATCTCGGGCCTTCCATAATCATACCTTGACCCCTGAAGATTCTGTGGGACTCAGGATATGAGCAATTACTTTATATCAGTAATTGGCTTTATGTATCTATCATAAAATTTAGAATAATAATTTATTATATTTAATTAAATTATAAGGTTTACATTCATCATATTAAATAAATAATAATGGTGATAATTGTCTATTTTAGTCAATTTCTATAGGTATTATTTTACTAAAAACACACAGTCTTATAAAATAATTACATTGCTTTATATGCAACAAATTGTGATTATTGTTATAAATGAATACTAAGATTAATCCTTCTTTTAATTATCATGTTATTGTTATATTATTCTGCAGAGATGAAAAATTAAAAAAAAAATCCAAATTTTGAAAAATCCAAATAGATTTTGAAAAAAGTAAATAAGAGTCAACAAAAGCCAAAAATAATTGTTAAAGTTTTTTGTAAACAATAGAAGTTAAGATATTATATGCTAAAACATGGAATCATGCCAAACTATTCTATTTCTAGTTTTTTTAAGGTTATCATAATTGTATTTGGCATAGATTTGATAATTCATATTCCTCAAATTATATTGTGGGGCTCTCTCAATTATTTGAAAATGTTAACAAACTGGACTATGAAATGCCAAAAATGTTTTCCTTCTTTCTCAGGATTCATTAAAAAAAAAAAAAAAAACAGTTAAAGAGGAGAAAATAAACTAAAAGGAATCTCTTTTTATTATATATGGATAAAATTACCTCAATATTTTTATTCATAAAACACAGAGAACACATCTTGCACAACAGAGCCTATGCCCCTGTTTTCATACAAACAATTCTTTATGCAAACGATATATAATTTTGTACTCTCAGCAAAAAATCATGATAGTGGTCACTGAATGGCATGAAGAACTTGCAACTCCTACTGATGGGCAGGACGGAAGAATAAATGCATATTTCCTACAATTCTAAAGATATGGAAATTATCAGGCTACACTTACTTATCAGTAATGCAAGAAAATATGGGGAAAGTGGAGAGAAAAATTTCTTACAGGGTGGTTTATGTAACACGGTGTTAGGAAATAGGTCTGGATATAGAATTTTTAATTTTAAAGATGGTTTAATTCCTATTCTCCCATATGGTGCAGAGAGCTGGGTATTAACTGACCGACTTCGAAGTCTAATCAACACTGTAGAAGTGAAGTAGCTTTGAAGAATGGCTGGGAAAGCAAGAAAGAACTACACAAGAAATGATTGAATCGGAAGGGAACTCAAAATGTGTTCTCTCATGGAAACAATAGAAAGGAAACAGTTAAAATGGTTTGGATAAGTCAGTAGAATGGAAAGATAACAGGACCTTTTAAAGCCGGTGATATATTATCTATCTGGGTAGAGACCTAAGGACATTCTGAAGTAACATTTCTCGAGCAAATCGAATGACTGGGAAAAGTAAGAGGTGAAACGTTAAATGGTACGAAGAAGGCTGCAGTTAATTAGCAAATCTAGCTTAATGCACCCCCAGGCTGAAAGTTAATAAGGGTAGAAGATAAAGAAGAAGAAAAGATGCTTTAAGAATTTCCCTCATGGATGCAACTTCAAATATTTTTTTAAAAGCCTTCATTGATTGGACATAATTGCAAAATTACAAACACAAAGCCTTAGGTCTCTAAAATGCAGGTAAACAATTAATCCATCAATTCAGGTATCAGGACAGTAAAACAGTAACTAGGCATCAATAAAGAGTAATACCTCTTTAGTTCTTTCTTACAGCCAGTCAGGTTTCCATAAAAAATATGTGGTGTTAAGAAGGGAGCTGAAAAATATAGTATTGTCATCAAAGCTGTGGAAAACTTTTGAGGAATAGTTGTCTGGTAGTCAGGAAGATAGATCGGTGGTAGTGTTTGAAAAATAGCAAGTTGATCAGATTTATTAAATAGTAAATAGTGATAGGTAATACAAACTATAATCTATAATACAAACTTTTCTTTATTTTAAAAAATTATATTTTATTTATTGTCTTTAAGAAGAACTTTGTTTTTATCATAAAAAAATTTTAACTAGCTGTTATTTTTATGAACAATATATAACCTTTTCTTATAAGTATTTTTTTTGCTGATGTCCATCTGAAATCCTGAAATACAAACGTACATATATTTTGAGAGAAATCCTCTGCACAATAACCAGAATTATCTGGGTTCAGAGTACTAATGCATGGAGAAGGACTAATAAAGAACTACTGGAGGTTAAGATGGGCAGGATATATATGTACACAGTGGGTTTCTTTAAAAAAGTATTTGAACAAACCAAATTTTAATAAAAATGATACACGTTTCAATTTAAAAGTGTTTTTATCTTCTTAATTGTAAACTGATTTAATCTGGCAGACATTGTAGATGTAATATATATATATTTAAATTATCATTACTTTTGATCAGCTGATGCGAAAGGTTGTACTTCTACCTCGGATCTCAGAATTTGCTTGTTTATCAGTGTAATTTTTGAGATTATTCATTTAAAACAGGTCAAGGTTACATAAGAACAATTGATATTACTGTTCGCAGTTATACATTTTTTTTTTTTCTCTCATTTTCTTTTATGCAATATCACCATCAGGTCATGTCTAGTAGAGCTTCTATTAAGAGAATTTGGTCATTTGGTGGTGTTTAAGTGATTCTTGAAGCCCTATTAAATATAATTAAATGAGCAATAATACTTTAAGACATAATTTTTTTATATTTTTCACTATAAAAAAAGGTTACATTTTACCATTTGGGGGAGGGAGCTTCAACGCGAAAGCTCCCCCGTAAATCTGCCTGTGTTACTTGACATGAACATTGACGTGGCACTAATTACTGAAACTTGACTAACCACTAAACAGCTCTTCAAAATACCATAATACCTGGCATATCGTGCTGGTCACCCTGACAGAAGAGCACATGCCGGTACTGCTGTCATTACACACCAATTTCTCTCCCATCACCTACACAAGATTTCCTACAATCCACCGCTATAGTAATAAAAACCTTCTCCTTTCTGGTTACCCTTGCATCAGCATTGCCATCCTAACCACTCCATATCCTCTACCCAATTCAGTTCTCTCTTCGACTCCTTAGGGCATCACTTCATCTTGGGTGCAGACTTAAATTCCAAGCACCAACAATGAGATTTCAGAACCATGAATTCTTGTGGCTGAACCCTGCTGTGTGTACTCAATTCCCAACTTTTTCACCTCCTTTTCCCCAAATCTCCTACCTATTGGCCCACAGATCCTAACCGCAATCCTTATATCCTTGATTTATTTATCCACAGTGGCTTAGGACCCCTCAATTGTTCCATTACACATCTAAATGAACTTTCCTCTGATCACAGTCCTTTAATTCTTAATATTTCACTTGAACCTGTTCCTAAACCTTCCCCACTGTCATTTATCAGGAGCCCAGTTAACTGAGATCTTTAAAATTAATCTCAATATCTCCCTAAAAACTCCTGATGACCTAGATAGTGCCGTCATTTCCTTTACCGCCACAATACATACAACAAGCTACCTGGACCGCCTCCTCTCCAAAAGATTCTCCATGAATTCCTAAAAAGATCATTCTACCTCTACACCTCATTGACCTAATCCACATCAAACACCGTACTAGATTATTATGGCAACGTACTAGACATCCCACCAACCGCAGCTTCTATAATTATCACTGTAAAAAATTAAAACTGGAATCAGCCACCTTCAGATCCCTATCCGTTAACTCCTACCTATCCTCTCTATCTGCTCGTAACAATTCCCTTTGGAAAACCACAACAAAAATCCTAAGCCCAAACCAAATTTTCCATCCCCTCCAACGAGCTGATGGCTCCTGGGCAGTAATTGATGAAGATAAAGCCCAGGAGGTCGCCAGACACCTATCCAATACATTTATTTCACATCCGGAATCCCATCCCGTCCACAACGCAACAGTAGAAGAATTCCTTGCATCACCTATCCCACTTTCCTTGTCCCCTAAGCAATTCATCCCTCTGAAGTAAAATTCCAATTACACAAATTAATCCCCCGTAAATCTGCTGGATATGATCTCCTTACCCTTCAGATCCTTCAACAACTCCCATCCAAAGCAATCATATTCCTTACATATATCTACAATTGCATCCTACGTACTTACCCACTTTCCTCTATCATGGAAACACTTCACTATTATCCTTTTCTCAAGACCAGGCAAACCTCCTAACAGATTAACATCCGATAGAACAATTAGCCTACTCCCAATCCTTTCAAAAATCTTTGAAAAGATCCTTCATAGAATCCCAAAATCTATCTTCCCATCAGTTTGGTTTACACTCACAATACTCCACTGTCCAACAAGGACTCTGAGTCATTGATCATATTTCAGCAGCCCAGAAAACAAGCAATACTGTTCGGGTGCATTTCTGAATATAACACAGGCTTTTGACCGGGTATGGCACCCCGAGCTGCTCTTCAAGCTTAAAATCCATCTCCCTCAGTCCTTATACCTAATCCTTCAATCCTACCTCTCCGACCGCTCCTTTTGAGTACGCTGTGGAACAGCCTTTTCCGATATTTATCCAATCAAAGTCTGTGTTCCCCAAGGCAGCATCTTGAGTTCTGTGCTATACATCCTCTTTACCGCTGACATCCCTGTCCATCCTGATACCTTCCTTGTAAAATTTGCTGATGACACTGCAGTCTTATCATCCAACTCTAATCCCGAAAAAGTATTCTCAAATCTGCAAAGGCACCTCTCTTCGACTAAGCACTGGTGTAATAACTGGCATATTAAAGTGAATGAATCCAAATGCCAACATATTATCTTTACACTCTGACGCAACTCCTGTCCACCAGTTCCTTTAATTCCATCTAGCTTCCTTTC